AAAGAGTTTTCATGTTGAATATTGTTTTTTATGGATGTCATTAATGCTACTAGGACGAATGAGTGTGAGCACTTCCGCTTGGTACATTTCAAGGGAAGCAATTCTTTGACATCTTGTCGGTATTAACTTAAGATCATCATGCGGAAGAGATTTGTAACAAAAATTAGCAACTAATTCAGTGAGTAAGTACAAATTTGTCATTGTACATGGCCGCTGGGCCGTGCTTAGACCGGTACGGACACTGTTCGAGCTCATTTATTTTGTGATGTGCTTGGTACGACCCATCAGTTTTCGTGTCGTGCTTTGCAAGCCCATTTGTTAACTTTGCTAGGCCCGGCTCGGGCACGGTTCGAATCGTGCCGTGCATATTCATGCTCGTGCCATGCTCGTATTCGTGCTTAATGAAAATGACGAAAACAAAAGAAAGAATGAAAAAAAGGTGAAAATTGGACAAGGAAAGATAGTATTAACCGATAATGTTTGAGAAAAGTAACAAATAAGGGGGAAAAGAAAATTGGAAGTATAGCGAGTGTGATGTGACTTTGTTTAATTATTTGTCCATTTTTACTTATGTTAGTAATTACGTATATATCTTTATGACACTTCTAAAAACAACAAATATTTATTATTCTACTTGTGTTTTGTAATATTTGAACCTATAATTCTTTTTATATTTATATTTTATCAAACAAATATTATTTTCGTGCCATGTACGTTCTAGTACTCACTAAAGTCTCGAAAACATTAGGCCCACACGGCCCACTTATGTACCGTGCCGTGCCCGTGCTCGTGCTCGTGCCCATGAAGTTTAGGCCCGGCACAGCCCATAAATTATTCGTGCTCGTGCCGTGCTCTAACCGTGTCGTGTCGTGCTAGCCCGTGGGCGGCCCGGCCCGGTGCCCACGTACATTTGTCACCCAGTTTCCATTGCCATCTTTTAGAACTAAAACTATATTTTTTCTAGGGTTAATATATTTGTATGGCCTGAACTTTGCACATAATAAACATCATGGCCAATCTTTTCGATCTATAACATCATGACCCGAACTATATATCAAAGTTACGACATTGGCAAAAATCGACGTTTGACCATTATCTTGGACGGTCAAACGCATTGACTAACAGTCAAATGCGTTGACTAACGGTCAAATGCGTTGACTAATGGTCAATTGTGTTGACTAACGGTCAACGCGTCACGTCATTACCAAGCCAGCACCTTTCACTTATGATTTTTTATATTTTCCACCTATTACCATTTTTTTCATTTTGAACAAAAAAAATAAATAAAGGAAAAAGTAATTTTGGGTCCTCTTATATCTCCCATAATTTTTAAATAATGTTTTTTTAATTCCACCACTTATTTTCACTAATTTCAAATTGATCTTCTACAAAATACCCATTTTCGAATTTTTCGCAAATATAAACAAAAAAATAAAAATAAAAAAATTTCACCATTTATTTTCACTAATTTCAAATTAATTTTAAATAATATACCTATTTTCAAATTAAAAAAAACTGAACAAAAAAATCAAAGAAATAAATTTAAAATTTTGTAAAATAAATCAAAACTGAAAATGAAAAACATTAATTGAAAATAAAAAAATAGAATTTCCCATAATTGATTTTCCACATAATATTTATCTTCAAATTTTCCACAAATATGAACAAAGAATCAAAAAATCAAAAAATGAAAAAGATTTTGTAAAATTGAAAATTTATAAAATTTCACCATTTATTTTCAGTAATTTCTAATTTATTTTCCACATAATACCCATTTGTTTTTAAATTTCTATTTAAATTTTTTTATTTTTAAATATAATATCCATTTTATAGGTGGAAAATATACAACTTTTTAAGTGAAAGGTGCTTACTTGGCAATGACGTGGCATGTTGACCGTTAGTCAACGCGTTTGACAGTCAAAGGTAATGGTCAAACATCGAGTTTGGCTAATTTAGCAACTTTGATGTATAGTTTGGGCCAGGATGTTATTGATCGAAAAAATTTGCCAGAATATTTATTATGGGTAAAGTTCAGACCATACAAATATATTAACCTTTTTCTATTCTTTCTAGTTTTCATTGCCATCTTTGAGAACATATTTGTAGTTCGGAGAGGGGGATAATTGTCGAAGATGAGGTCAGAGTGATTAATGGTCATATGAGTTTTGAATTATTTTCACACATTTCCAATTATTTAATTCACAAGATAATGTCATTTACAGTACTACTGCTACTATATATAATATATATATATGCTCCATATATTAAATAGGGATTGTTATTCACCGTTCTAAAAATTATTAAAATTACTTTATAATTCTTTTGTAAATTTTAACTTTTCCTCCTTTACAAACACATCATTAAAAGAAATTGTAAAAATATCCTTAAATTACTAATAGTTAAATAAATTCTTAAAAGAATAATTACTGAAATTAAAACTCAAAAGCAGCCGAACGAGGACATAAATCGGTGCAACCACAGTCCAAACGAGAGTTGGTTGCGATCTGACGGTGGGCCAAACGAAGATTGATTTTCGTTTAACCCACGGTCAAAACGATGTCAACACTTGTTTGGACCGTGGCTGCACCGAAATTCATGTCAGCTTGCCACCTCTTCGCCCAAATCGCCTCTTCTCCAAGTAATCATTTGATTTTCCTTAACTATGGGCATTGTCAAATTAAGCTTAGGAATTGATACCCAAATACAGAAGCTTCCCGCTGCTGCATCATCTCCATCTTCACCCTTTCAACTCTGTCCTTCTTTGCCGGGGCCTGGGGGAGGGAGTTTGCCGGCGGGAATGGAGTTAGGAGCAGAGCAAGGAGGCGGTTGGGAGCAGAGCACAGGTGGCGGTTGGTTTGTTCCTTTCCCGGCTGGGATGGGCTCGAATCGTAGTAGGTCGTCGGCGGGATGGGCTGACGTGGATTTCCGGCGAAGGAGAGGAGGGAGTATATTTGAGGGGAGTGTTTGATTATGTATTTGTGTTATGATTTGAAATTTGAAATTAAATAAATATTTAAATAACATTATAAATTTAGAACGACGAAAAAGTAAATTTAGAACCACATTTAGCATTTCAGATTAATAAATAAACAGCATATAGAACACAATAACCTGACAAGCAACGAAGAGATTCATGCATGTTATGTTAAGGTGGGACCTTGGGAAGGAAGTTGCAACATGACCTTCGTTAGCTTGTCTTTAATATTAGTCCCAGGGCTTCTGTCTGCGAGGGGCGGTCAAACAGTCAGAAGTGGTAAAATGATGTCGGTAGAAGAGGGTAAAAACTAAAAACTATGTTGTACAAGTACAACCAAAAGAAAAAAAAACTGTAGATTCCAAATCATAACCACCTCCACGGCTCCACCTGCTTGCCTTTGGCTCCCACTCGTGCAGCCGACCAAGCGTCCACGCATATTAACAAAACACTGTCAGTACACCTGAAGGAATAGCTCGGTTTTTTAGGTGTTCTGCTGCTTTGTTGTAAATCAAGTGACCGACATCTCAGAAACCACTTGCCCTGCGACTCTACGAGCTTGTTAGATCATACATGTAAGTAACTTTGAGCACGCTAACAAAATTGCCTCTTCCTTTGCTTGTAGGATTTTAAAAAAGAAAGGATTTTCGTAAAATTTTGGATTTTGGGATTGGAGGATTATCTTAGATTTGTGTTCGAATTTAAAAATTGTATGTTTGTTTATTGAATTTCAAAATGGACTTTACTATCTTGGATTTATGGATTAAATTATGAGTTTATCTTCTTATCCTTCTTCTTATCATTAATAAAGTATTTTTACTTTTTTGTTAAGGATATTTTGGTCATTTCATAATTAGTGTGGTCCACGGATTTTGGCAACTCTCAAAATCCTAGCTAATGAGGTGTGATTTTATAATCCATGAGGACCACGGATTTTGAGCCAAAAAAATCTCACATTTGTGGGCCCCACGGATTTAGGCCAACCTCAACAAACATGGATATGGTCATTAATCCAACCACCTATAAGGAATTTTGGGACAAAATCCCTCATCAAAATCCTACAAGCAAACGACCTCTAAGAACATTCCCTCGTTGTCAAGGATAATGCGACTTCACTGCAACGATGCAAAACTAAACCAACAACTAGAAATGTGCAACGATTTGGTTCGTATCGGAAGGCATCAGACCAAACTAATTAACGCTTGAATCATACCATATCGACCGAATATAATGTGCTTTGGTCTCATATTATAAATACCGAAGATACATGTGCCGAATTGATATTTGGACATGACCACAACTGAACCGAATGCACTATTAGTCCGATCCTGAATCCTTGATTGTTTTTTAATATTAGACTGCGGCTCTCATGAGTTTAGTCCGGTCATGGTCATTGCACACCCCCTACTAGGGTGAGCATTGGGTGGTTGAACCCACAAATCCATCCAAAATCGACCCACCCATTATCATGTGGCCATATAGGTGGTTTCTACGGGTGGGTGTGAGTAAAATAGATGACCCACAAAAGATTGGGTGGGTGGGGGTTGATTGTGGTTGAACCACGACCTACCTAACTTTTTAATCTCAAACCATCGAACTCTAACATATAACTTTACCGAAAATAAAACCTTTAAAATCACAAAAATTTCTCTCAATTTTGATCAAAGGATTATGTTTGTGAGGTGTGCTTAGGAAATTAGAGTTACACTTAAGCATAACTAGTAGACAAATGGAAGAAAAAAGACACTTGTCTTCTCCAAAATGACACCATCTCAAACTACCACTGGTTCGTCATTCATTCCTTCCATCAATTTGAAATTATAATTTGCACGCTCACATCGTCTAGGCGAATGAAGCGCTAGGCAAGATCATTCAAAACATTGTCTTTATGCCTACATATCTTCTTCAGCCTTGGTTATTATCAGACTTAGACCATGTTTATCAATTGTATATTTTATAATTTGTAAATAATTACTAATACAAATATTATAATATAAATTATTGATATGATTTAATCCTACTATTTAGTTTGAAAATTCTTTCATTTTAAGTTTACAACTATTTAAATTATGTGATCGTATGAAATATATTTTGTAAACCCACCAAATCCACCCAACCACCCATCATCAACAATCACTCAACTCAACCCACATGTAATACTTGGGTAGATAGTATGTTATTTTCTTATTCACCCACCACGTAGTGGGTGATTCCAAACCCATCCAAATCTACATCCGCATAAAACCACTCGCCGCTCACCTCTACGCACAACCACCTCGTCCATACTCCATATACATATGATGTAATGGCCGATAGACTACATCCCCACGAACGCGTCCATTCCCCCCTCAAATTTCCAGGTCCAGGTCCTAGTCCTGCTTGTGGTCCGACCCCTTTAGAAGCCCATATTGCAAATGCGACTAAAAGCCCAAATTGTAAGTTGTCTACGCCCGCTCAGATCCAATGTTTTCAACCGTCGCCTCCACCTCCAAGCATTCCCATCATGTCCTTCCCGCCGCCCATTTGCTTCATCAGATTTTGCAGGCCACCCATGCCGCCAATCTGCTTCAGCATCTGGGGAGGGAGAACTTTGCTCATGTGCTGCGCATTCATATTCCTCGACAATGCGCTCATCTCCCCCTTCTTCGGGATCTTCAGCCCCTTCATTTTGCTCCAAACCTTGGCCAGTCGTTTGTACTCGTCCAACATCTCCATAACGTCTCTAATGGGACGCCCACACCCTCTTGCTATCCTCATCACCCGTGACTCATTCATCAGCTTTGGATTTGTGCTGTCCAGCTCTGTATTTAATTAATGGCATTACAAACCCAATATCAGGATGATGAGGACACACATCTTCCAAAAATTAAAAAACAGGAAACGCCACTTGCCTTCATTTGTCATAGAGTCCATCATGGTCATATACCGCTTGATCTTTGCCTGACTTTCCTTCTCACGACCTTTTGGCATTAATTCAGAGCTAAACCCTGGAAGCATTGAAAATACCTACAGAAAATACAGCATGTTTAACATCAAAGCAACCACAAGCAGCATTTTAAGATCTTGAGACACCATAGAGAAAAGAAGGGGGGAAACCTGGCCAATTGGACCCATTTTAAGAAGGTTCTGAAACTGCTCATACATAATCCTTAAAGTAAAGGTCCCTTCTGAGAGCATCTGCAGGAGTTCGGGCTGTTGATCCATGGGAACAACCTCTTGTATCTTATCCATGAATCCAGATAAGTCACCCATGCCTAATACGAATAAGCTTTATACGATAAGGTAAAGTGCTCATAACAATATGCATTTCAATAACTTAGCTCAGTTGGTAGGAAGAAGAACACGCGATATGGCAACCCGAGAGAGAGTCGGGAATACCTAAAAGACGACTAACGAATGGTTTTACATCAAATACTTCAAATTCATCCATGTGCTCTCCTGTTCCAATAAAGATGACAGGGCTCTTTGTTGCAGCAACACTACAAGCATCATATAGAACCGAATCAGCGTCAATACATAAGAGTGTTTTTTTATGTCTCGTGCAACTGCCGCCAAGCAGTCAATAATTTGTAGAGAGAACATTTTCTGACTTCTCATTGGATTGGAATTGAGAATATGTTTCCATCACATATTCGTCAAAAGAAGTTGTGCAAGGGAAAATGCAGATTCGAAGATTAATATAATTTGTAGGGAGAAAGACTCACGCACTAAGAGCACCACCACCTCTTGCATGACCATCCATTTTAGTAATAATCACAGCTCCAACAGAAACACTTTGCTTAAATGCTTGGGCCTGATCAAATGCAGCTTGACCTATGCTGCTATCCATGACAAATATGACAAGGTCTGGTTTCTGGATGAAAACAAAAGGAAGGAAATGAGTCTGCCTCCTTTCAGGAGACATATTACAATATCACTTCATTATGTAATAGAACTGAGATTACCGTGGCTTCAGAAACTTGACGCATTTCTTCAAAGAGGGCAGCTTCCTGTTTATGACGACCACTAGTATCAACTATTATAAGATCACAATTCTCCTTCTTGAACCTTTCTACACCTTCCTCAGCAATCTTTACAGGATCAGATTCCATGTAGCTGGATAGAGTAGCAAAATATCGTTTGAAATAAGCCTAGTGATTTAGAAGATACCATATACAAACTAGTACGTTCAACAGAAGACAAAGATGACAAGAAGAACCATACCTTCCATAGAATGGAATCTTAGCTTTGGTCGCATTCTGCTTCAACTGATCAAAAGCACCAGCTCTGAATGTATCCGCACAAACTAAAGCAGGCTTCCAGCCCTTTTTCTGATGATAATATGCATATTTTGTACATGTAGTAGTTTTCCCAGAGCCTGAAGAGGTAAAAGGTGAGATTTGATATAAAGGCACAGAAAGAAATTTCGTTTTGCCACTAGTTAAGCATAATTAACTAAGACATAGCAAATGGAAACAATCCAAACCCCAAACAAAGAAGTGAAATTGAAAGGAGAACAACTTCCTACTAATAACTAAAGTACAAGAAAACGAGATGCACATACCTTGTAAACCAACAAACATGACTACACTTGTTTTCCCTTTCTTTGGAGTGAAAGATGGCTTCCCAGGATCCAACATTTTGCAGAGCTCATTGAATATCGCCTATGATCAGAAAGTAAAAGTCAGCGAATTAAACCCATATCTTCATAGAAAAGATAAACGTCTTTGAAGGAAATGATACAGCATTACGAATAGCAGTATCTAGTTAAATTTATATCAGCATTGCAATCCAAAGAAGCCTAAGCTGCAGTAGTCACAGCATTTAAACGACAATACACCAAATAGATTACATTTCAGAATCCTACTATCTTCCCATACAAGTTTCAGATATCAGAAAGAGTATTTCCAACTTCTTATTAAGCACTAGGCACATCATATTCTTCTATACAGCTATGAAAAGCCATAACAGTAAAATGCACTTTTCTTTAGGTGTAAGATAACAAGCCATAACTGTATTATCATTTCTGCTATGCCACTGCAGCTAATACCTTAACGTACCTAGAAAACAAGCCATAATTGTATTTGCATTCCGGAGCGCATCAAACATACATGTCTACAGGGGGGCAGGCATTTTGCTAAGTTAAGCATTGTAAGTCATCTCACGCATAACAATTAAAGAAGCCATGAAACCTAGTTACTAGGGGAGACTATGCGTGAGAGAATAACATTCTAGTTCTCCTACAAGTGCTTAGAAATTTTAAGGAGGCTTTGGATTGGAAGCACCATAGAGAAAAAAGACCGGTGGAGCTGATATCCAAGTGGTATCACCTAGTCGCTACTAGGATTGTCCTTGGCAGTTCAAGAACGTCACTTAATAGTTCAGAACTTTGGATACCACAGTTGTGAAGTATGTATCAATAGGACTTAACCCCCACGCACACACTTTCTGTTGACATAGTTAATTACTGATGTTCGACTCTAAAAAAGCCAAGTTGGCTTGCCCCCAGGAGTCACACTAGCAGCGGGATTATTGTAATGGTATAGACATTCTAGACATGTGAACCATCTTAAAGGAGAAGGGAAATCATACCCAATATTCATCAAACCAAACAGCAGGAAGGAGACAAAAGCAGGGGACATGAACGCAGGAAGAAAAAGTTATTCACCTGTTGGATGATCCTCCGCTTGTTGTGACCAGCAGCAAGATCGTCAAGATTGACTATCTTCTTAATATTGGTTTGCATATCCTTGACGAGCTTGAACTGCACATCCGCTTGCAGCAGAGCACGAGTGATCTCATTCAGACACTCGTTCAGTGCCTTCTCATCAATGATGGTGGCATTGCTCATCTGCTGTATAGCTCGGGAGATGCTCCCTCCCAACTGTGCCAACACCATCTTTGCAGGCTTTCTTTTCCCCCAGTCAAAAAAAACTTATCAATCAATTAAGAATGCCGGTTCTTGATTCTTCACAAAAGGATTCCCTCTTTCTCTTTCTGACAGCAATTCGGTATCGATGTGTCTAAAAACAACTGCCAACAACACAGTATCGGAAGGGGCTTTAACACAGGCTATCAGGAAACGGACAATTGGAGCTGGAAAAGCAACGAAATTTACATTTAACAGAGAAGATGAGAATTGAAGCCTCGCCTATATACAAGATGAAAGGTGGTGGACCAGAAGCTTCTATTGGCGGATAGGCAACCGGGTGAATCGGTCTTTCCGCCGCAGGTTTGCCTGGAGTAAACGCAAGGGGGAGAGGGAGAAAGATGAGGAAGGCGGCCGGAAATTTGTCAGATGTCGCCGAAGATAGAGAAGAAGAGAGATGGATCCCGATGAGGGAGAATAAGAGCGATTTATTGGTTAAAGTGACGCGCGAAATCAGGTTGAATTAGGCCGATTCTAGCCGATATTGCGCTGGAAACCTAGGTTTCTTAGACAAGAACAGAGATAGAACGACGTTGAAGGAAAGAAAGGATGAGAAAGTTTGATCGGAAAACAGACAGCTGCTCAATCAAAATCTGTTTATGAGCTGTAAAAAAATTACTTGTAACTGGACTTTAGTTTGCTCACTTAGAGACAAACTTATAGAACGGCCCAATATGAAATTTAACCCACACTAATATCCACCGGCTCTGGCCTCCGGCGGCTGACGAGGCAGAGAGGAAACGGCACCGGCCCTTTGACTCGGCATACGAGATTCCTGTCGTAGATGGTGATTTTGTTGGATTTTTTCATGAAACATATAAGTTATAAAAAAAAATTCATAATTTACACATGTTTTTCCATCATCGTTGTTGTCAAAGACAGTAAACATATTCACCGTTTTTTAGATCGACGGTGAATTTTTCACTGCAGTCGACAGTGAACACTTCACTGCGCTAAACAAAAACGGTGAACACTTCACTGCGGTTAACAAAAATGGTGAATGCTTCACCGCACTACACAAAAACGATGAATGCATTAGTTAATTTATCATCACGGTTGAGAAGAGCGGTGAACCTTTACTATGTTTTCCAGTCCAGATAGGTGAAAAATTAGGTCACAACGACCTAGCATTCACCGCATTAGATTAACGCGATGAACATGTTGACTGGCTAGGACGAATGCGGTGATTGCTAGTTGTTTCTCATATAAATAAACCACTCGCGTACCTGTTGAAATAATATCCCTCATCCCTGTAAAATGAATGCAAAGTTCTCTTCTCATATCGCTTCCAACAACTACAGTTACAGAAATTCAATTTTTTCGCTATGATATAATTTTGTATTGTTTGATGTTGATATTTTAGTATTTATATGTTTGTATTTAATGAATTACTATTAGTGGCAAATATATTATGTTAGAGATATTTAGATTAGTTATGGTATGATTCATAATTAGTTATGAATTTAGATGAATTTGTTTAGTATACTCATGTTATTCTAATGCTAATTATTATCCATGTTTTGATTAGTTAGTTGTGGTTATTTATGATTTTGGATTCTATTATTTTGTAGCCCTAAAAATATGGTTTTGGATAATGGTTGTGTAGCCCCAAGTACTAATTATACTATACTAATTTTATTCGACTTAAACTAATAGTTACTTATTATAAATTGCAGATATGGGTAAATTCAAGAAGTTTCAGCTTCTTATTCTATGGAATGGTCAGATGGCATACTCTGACATTGGGATCGAATATGAAGACAGTGAATCCACTATGTTGAAAATTGAGTCGAGATTCACGTGGCAAGAACTCCGTGACATTTGTGCAGACAAGATTTGCATGGGCGGACAGACAAGAGTTGGTAAAATTACTTACCGGTATCCAAACATGGGTGCTAGCGGGGTATGTACGAAGAAGTTGTCATAAACGATGATTATGCGGTTACCATGATGTTACAGTTCCTAGCTGACAACTAGATGCGACTTACATAGGTGTATATTGAGACCAAGGCGATCGGTGAAACTCATTCTCATCAGTATTCTTATGATGATGGTTTTGCAAGAAGGTACGGATGGGGTGGTAGTTCAAGCAACTATGGAGAAGGTAGTTTTGCAGAAAGGGTGTTATGGAAAGAATATTCGCAACGTGTTGAGCATGCCCCATTCATTGAGCCCGACGGCGTTCAATGACCTGCTTGGGGATCAGAGTGGGCTAACATTGAGAACACCATTCGAGCTGGGCGTACTTCACATGAGCGAGAAGATGACGTTGATGATGCTGGTCACAATGATCCTCCTAGCCCGAGTTATCCATTCGTCTCCAGCGACGAGGAAAGTGAGGAAGATTTGAGATTAGTGAGCGAGGATGAAGATATGGACGATGAGGTGGCATTTCGTAAGCCACCCACGTCATACTACACAGAGGTTCTATCTCAATTTTTATATGGCCAGAACAATGCCCCCAACTTTCACCCTATGTCAGTGTATGATCCGAAGGTCAATTTGGAGCTGGGTATGGTGTTCACTTCGAAGGACATTGTTCAAGATATTTTTTGAGAAGGAGTCATTGCGCAATTTCGAGTGGAAGGTAAAATATTCTGACGGCAAACAACTACGTGTCATATGCAAGAATATTGAAGAGGGTTGTATGTGGCAACTACGGGCTGCAAATATGAAGAGAATGGGTGCTTGGGTAATTCAAAAAGTAGAGAACAACCACAGCTGCTCCACGTCCATACTTTCCCAGGATCACCGCTAACTTAAAGAAAAGAAAGTGGCGAGAACCATTAAGCACTTGAGCGAGGTGAAGGATCGACATTCCTACACGATCAGGTACAAAAAGGCTTGGCATGAAAAGCAGAAGGGCATGGCTGAGGTGTATGGTGATTGGGACGACTCATATACTTTACTACCTAGACTAATGGCGCAATGGAGGAGTCCAATCTTGGGACTGTGTTCGTGTCATGATACAACAATGTACAAACTTAAGATAAAGTTCGAGTATAGAATGAGTTGATGTTTCACTATCTATTTTGGGCATTCAAGCCATCCATTGACTGGTTTGCCTTCTGCATTCCAGTGATCCAGGTATATTATGGTCTAATTACTGTTCTACTAGTTCATTTTTTAACTATATACTATTTATACTAATTAGGGCTAATTCTACTAGTAAGCCCAAACTATTCAAAAAGTGTCATTTGTGTCCTAAACTATTTAATATGACAAATCTGGCACAAAATATTTTTCTGTAAATGTTGATTGACGTTGACCGTTAGTATTTAACATAAAATCTAGTAAACATTTATGTGGTTTGTGCTAGATTTGTTATATTGAATAGTTTAGGGCACAAATGTCACGTAACGCATATAGTTGTGCCAGATTTGTCATATTGAATAGTTTAGTACACAAATGACACTTTTAAAATAGTTTGGGCTTCCTAGTGGAATTAGCCCTAATAATCATGAAATTTTTTGAACAGGTTGATGGAACTTTTCTTACTGGGAAGTACAAAGTAACTCTACTCATTGCCACAGGCCTTGATGGAAATCTGCGGATTGACACTCCACGATGTGCCAACAAATCAATGACACCTTGCACAACCACGTGTCTCCTGGTCCTCAGGGTGTCTAAGATGATGCAGCTCAACCACTTCATGTGGATATGGGTTCCATGTCACCTACACTAATTAATACTTTGCAGTCAGTACCAAATACAGTCTACTCTATTTTAAAAAGTTAAAATATTGAGAAAGTCATGTTTACCTGGTTCCACCAAGACTTATCAAACTCTGCACGATAAAACAGTAAGGAATGCTCAGGTTGGTAGTCATTTGTATTTGCTCTGGTCAACCATCTAAGTAAAAGTACGCATATAGGAATTTTTTAAAGCATGGAGGCTAAGCATGTAAGGATTTCTTAACCATATAATAAAATTACCTCATAAATTGTTATTATGTAAATATAAATTTTGAAAAACTAAGCATGGAATAAATTTTAGGATGTAATCAATCAACTCATGTAATATAAAATGCAAACTAAGCATGTAATAAATCTTAAGCTTGTAATCAATCTAAGTAAATAATTGTAAATTAATTACAAAATTGAAAGTAAATTGAACTTAATTGACACCATATGGGGGATTAACCACATTTCGTAGCTCCTCATCTTGCGCCCAGAATTCCCGCGGGTTTTGAGGTGCGAACAATGGAATATGCTCCCAAGCCCAAAGCTGGAGGATGAACATCGTACTACCAGCATGTTTCGCTCCCACTTTCGAGCAAGTACAGAGCTCCCTATATTCCCCAGCTAACACGACCGACTCTCAACTCTTTATCCCAATGTTGTCCCACTCATCGAGGAGCAATGACAACCACATTCCATCTATCCACCTATTTGCCTTGTCGGAGAACAGAAATCCACCAACCAATGCAATGAGGTAGACGCGTGCATACCGCTCCACTTGATCTTCTGAGCTGTTTGGGTCGATTTTCAACCTCATTTTGGATGTGAATAACGAGCCACAAGATCGATACTTGACTCGCATTCAGCGGTGGATGCCCACGTCCTTGGAGTACTTTAGTATGGGTCGGCATGTTGAATCCCAAACAATCGAGAATCAGCGGCTCCAGCCTTCCTAGAGTTTTCTCGAGTGTTTGATGATGACCTCTCCAATGACCGCCAGCCCGGTGAGGATGACAACATCTCTGAGGGTGATTGTCATTTTCCCTCAAGAAGGTGAAACATATGTGTTTCGTGGCGTTATCGCTTTGCCATTGTTGTCAGCAGATCGTTGACGATATCAATCCGCATGAAGTGTCGCACCATATCCAAACCCGTCCTCTCTATATAGGGCAATAGTCGATCATGCCAATCCGGCAAGTGTGTTTTCCCTCTATAACTTACGGGAATAAGTGATTCCTACGAAAAAAATGCAAAAAACACCAAGTTGTTAGTCAAAGACAAGCAAAATAAAGTGTCTACCGGATTGTTGTGCCAAATTGCACGAGAGCGATGTGTTGCTTGCTCGGATAAATACTTCTCATCCCTTGGCCCATGATCGATATACAATCGAGAATCGTATATCTCGGCACCCATCTATAAAAAAAATTAATGGAATCAAATTATTTCGATTACAAAAAAATAAATCACAAAAGGAAAAACAAGTACGTACACTAAGAGCCTCTTCGTCCATTTTTTGGGGGAAGTAGGATAGAGGTTCAACGGGTTTTTAGAGGGGAGGGCTTTATGATATAACTCTAGGAATTCTTTCTGATGCAGAATATCAGACTTAGCTGCAAACAAGAGCATACTTAGAACGAAACTAGAGTGGTATGTAAGCAATGCAGTTCAAGTCTAACTTTTATATAAAAGCGAAATGATGGGTAAAAGTGGAAGTGCAAAAGCGAAGCATAAAAGTATAAGCTTTTTAACATTCAATAAATTTGATAGAAATCTTTTGCCCAAAATTTTTATTTTGCAAAATATAAATAAGTGAACTATCTCATATATTAAAGATCGCTCTCACACATAAATGCTAAATTGGTAGTCTGTTAAACAAGCATTCACCGCCTTCCTTTTGCTTTCGAGAAAAAATATGAGAAGAGGAAACCATCATCAAATGATGAAGCTATAAGGGTTGTAGGAAAAATTCACACACAACTGAAATTGGCGACAAATGGGTGGCTGAAGGAGACGAGCTTGGATCACATCATAGTCATAGCGGTGAGGTGGGAGTTCCAGGGATGGGAAAGGACATTGGTGGCAGGAATATGGATGCGGTGTAAACTGTTTTTTGGAAGTAAATAAAAGACGAGAATGGAGGAGAAGTGGTAATAACTTTGGGATGAGGAATTCGTAGAAGGAAAGATGAAAGGATAACCTGATAGAAAATAACGTCATTTCTCTCTTTTGGCCAGCAAATTGAACCAAACCCATCCCAATATGGTAGGGTAGACATCATTTTGTTCCAAAGCTGGTTGCACCGGATCGAACCGACATCAAGACTGGATCAAACAATGGAATATAACGTGGTCTGGTTCTTGGTCCTACGAATTTTATAAATATTGACCTGATTGATATTTGGACCGAACCAAACCGGATCACACTGGACCAAATGCAATGTTGGTGTGATCCTAGGCCTATTTTTTCTCTACTTTTGGATCACAGTCCTCAAGATTTGGTCTAGTCCGGTTCGAATCATACCATTGCGCAGTCCTACATTATTGTCATGTTACCCTAATATCAAAAGCCTACAAAAGCTGTTTAAAAGTTAACTTCTATGGCTTTTACTAGGCTTGAGAGCTTTTACTTTGGGCTTTTGATGCAAAAAGATTTGTTAACAAAAGCTACAATATTTGGGGGGTTCAAGGCATAAAAGAGTAGGCTTTTAGGATTTAAAGCTAGCTTTTGACTGCATAAATTGTGAGCAACAGGTCGCCCGTTTGAGGAAATCCATATAACGCTTTCAGCAATTGGTAAATCACATTATATGACATATCATAGAATCTACATCGCAAACAATAAGGGTTTATCCAGTCATGCGAGATAGGGAAGATATCACCATATATGAGATAGGCATCGATGGTGGAGTCATTCTCTCCTGAATCCAGAAGAGCTTCAGCTGATACTGATTTTAAAATTGGTTTCTATTTGAGGTCTAAACACCTATTTATATTATAAGAGAGAGGGGGTAAACTAGGGTTTTCCTCCTAAACTCGGTTAGAAGCTTCCTAACACCACTAGGTCTCGGTGTCTCTGTCTTAAGGTTGAAGTAATACCTTCTAGACCTCCTTTTGATTAGTGGTGGTTGGGTGGCAGCTGGGACCGATACTGTTTTTCTTCATGGGTTGGATTCTTTGGCCCATAAGCAACCTATCCTTGAGTTTTCTCCGTGATTTGGGATTGATAAGTATAGTGGCAGTTGGACCCGACACTAGATTGCACTGATTCTTGTTGCGGATTGGGCTGAGTCTTCCTTCATTGGACTCCTCTAGGGCACTACATGTGGTTCCCAGTAGGTTTCTTCATCATTGGACTTTGTCTTTTAATGAAAACTCCATATTCTTCTCTTGTTAGCTCATTCGACCCTCCAGAATCATCCAAATGCTTGATCTAAGTTCTCAAAGATAGTATTTTACATTAAAAAGCACAAAAACATACCAAGAAAGAATAAAAGAATATGAAAACACACCCTAGATCTAGTAAATGTTCATTTATCAAATAATTATGATATAGTTGTAAAATAGAAGAGAAAGTATTAAAGATGCATTGCAAAAGGGAAAATGTCAAATATGGGAGTGAAACACTACAAATTGAGTATCATAAAAAATACCTCGCACTTAAACTTTCATTGTCAACAAGTAAACACTACTCATAATCGTAAAACTCAATAAAAACCAGCAATCATCACTCAATCATGATCTTAGGTAGTGGATGAAAAGTGAACTTACAATATCAAAAATAGCATGAGAAACTCCTAACCACATCAATAAGCGAGAACATTGTGCATTTTAACCTAACATCAATCAAGTAACTATGCACCAGAGTATCAATGCGATAGGGTGAAGCTTTTGATAAAAAAATTTAGCTTTGAATGCTTCTACCATCAACTTGACATTCCCTTAAGCACTTTTTCCTTCTTCAAACACATAATCTTTTTCTCATTTTCGGTTCTTTCTTCTCTTGCAAACATCAATTTTTTTTTACCTTTTCTAGACTTTTCTTGTATGGAGAGCTTCCTTGTAGCATTAGAACCTTATTGGTTGAGCAAAAGCTAAAATCTTCTATACCTGAAGGGGAGGGTCAGTGAATTTAATGGGTATAGGAAGTTTAATCTGTGCCCTTAAGAACACTTCCTCAAGTTGGCTATCAATTCAATGAGTGGAAATTTTACTTGTACTAGAGAGGAACTAGCATCACCTTGTAGGACTTCTCCACTAAAGCTCAACAAGTATCTCTTTCATAATCCGACTTTTGCAATAAAAAGACGCCTCACCCGTTGGAATTACCCCACATTTTATTTCTCAACATAATATAGCAAATTTCAAATGATAAACATGTTTGATAGGTAGAACTTTTGCATTTTCTTAGAAGATACAGTTCACCCTTTGAAAAACTTTTAAAACCAAACTCATTTGCATAATTTGCAATCCATGAAAGAATCAAACAACATAGCATTCAAACACATGACTATCGCATCCTTCATAGTGTAGGCACATATATCAAGTTATGATTCCTAATCTCCTTGATTCAAAGTAAAATTATAAGTGATCATGCTTGTAGGGGATGATTAAAAGTTATTAGATGGAAAACATCTTTAGTAATTTCAAAATTGTAGGCACATATCATAACAATTGTCAAAGTTTGAACAACTAATCATATAACAAGGCAAGGCATCTCAACACATTCCCCACCCTACACTTTAAAATGGACATTGTCATTTATGGACTAAATAATAATAAGCAATTGGAACTCCCCCATCAAAATCTCGTTGCATTTCTCGTATACTAGTAGGGGTTCCGTTCCAATTGAATTGAGCTTCTCGAGAAGAGAACTCCCTCATCCGTCGTGCTTCATCAGCTGGTCCAATCGAGTTCTCCTTGCATGGGAGGTTGTTTATCCATCAATGCAACGCTCTTCCTCCAACAATCATCACTCCTCTTGAGGAGCAAGACTGAATGTAGCTTGGGAGAAGCTTCACAATCGAGGATTGTTTCTATTAAGGTATTGTGACTGATCTCATATTGATGATTTATGAGCTCGAGCTTCTCTGCTAGTGGGACATCATCAATGTTTTCCTCCCTTTGTATGATCAATGCTATCTTCAAGGAATGTGGCATAATCATGGTGGCCTTCTTGCTCCTTCCTTCTCATGTTCCAATGTTTGTGCTCCTCTTCACTTCTTGTTTGGCGACTCCTTATTTGGCCTCTAACATCGTGTATGGGTGGGTCTTGATCTTCTTGGCTTGTATCTTGCTTGGTGCTTCATTTGGTGGTGTGAGGGATCAAAGAGAGGGAGGTACCTCTATTTATAGGGAATGGAAGCTCAGCAACAGGTGGAGCCACCCTTTGTACGTGAAGGACGAGGAAATTTAGTGGCGGCTGGTGTCATCCTTCAGGGCAACACTCATTAAACACTATGATTTGGAGACAGAAAGGGGTGTTATAGGCCGAGAAGTTCGAGTGGCGGGTAGGGCCGCCACTGAGCCAGCTTCTCCTTTCATCTTTACTAAAGGTGTAAGTACTCTCAAGAGGATCCTCGAAATGGTGAAACTATTAGACGAAACGTGCAGGCTTGACCCCTCGATAGTGGAACTATGCCAAAACCTTAATGCAGTAGAAAAGAATATCAGGATGAGTGAGTAATGAATACTTGGTCTCTCCAATTAGTTGGAGAACAACCTCTCAAAGATCAAACCAAAACCTCATGATCATCATAAGGTCACAAACTTAGTGGAAGCAGCAAAACATATCATCAAAGCTAGCTAGGATGGTACCACATTATCACATCATCAAGGATCAAGGATCATCAAGAAGCCTATGAAGAATGTATCATTGAGATATATGGGAGATTGGGAGAGATCATAAACCATGGAGTAGAAGGCCATCTGGAAACTTTCACAAGAAGTTGACAAGAGACCATGCCACATCTGTTTCATGACCAATGCAGTCAAAAGCGCGATTCTACCTAAAATTGAAAAAGAGGTAAAATCGAAAAGCGGTGAATCAAAGCGTAAAAGCGTAAGTTTTTTATGCATCATGTATAATAGTTAAAAATCTGTTAAGTACGCATAAACTATGTAAAATATGAGTGAACGGAGTTTAGAAAAAAGAATAAATACCTACAAACGCATAACATCTTAACAATAACTTCATAAACATAAATCATAACCCACAAACGAGTTTAGAATCCAAATTCTCACAAGCGGTTTAAGTTTATATAATGACATACGAGTTTAATAATCCAAGTTCTCGTAATCAAAGCACACAAATGTTATAAAGGATAGAAGGAAAACTACATCAATTCATCGGCTTCAACATTTGCATCCAAATCATCATCATTATCATCATCACCACCATTGCCATCAACATCATGTGGACTATCATATTCATGATCACCACATATCTTGGAGCATCAACACCAATAGCTTGTTGAACAGAATTAGATATTAAATGTGATGGAATTGCCGAGACAAAATCTCTAGTCCAAAGATAGAACCAAAGACAGGCAAACGCAAGCGAGAAGTGGATTCACTGGAATATCTGTAGGTCAAACCATAGTAGCTAATGACATTTCACTGATCCACCGTTCAAAATGATCAAGAGGGGAGTAAGGACAATCACCCAAAGTGAACTTCCATAATTGAAATTAAATCCACGAAGAGACAGCAAGTTGCTAGGAGCCTAGGATTGAAATTAAATCCATAATTGAAATTAAATCACCCAAAGTGAACTTCCAGTTGCTATGAGCCTAGGACAAGGAAGAGACAACAAGTGATTACCTGGTGCGGCGGCAGTGAGTGGCGACGGGCAACAATGAGGGCGACGGGAGACGAAATGAGTGCGACGGGGGAGGGGCACTAGAGCTGGCGAGTGCGTCAGGTGCTGGAGCTTCAGTGGAAGGCGGCGACGACGACGACGGATTGTTCGTCGGGAAGGGTGGGTTCTGGTCTGCTGGAGAGTGGAGACGGAGAGAATTAGGCCATTAGGGACTGCGAGGGAATGGATTGGAAGAAACAGCCCGATAGACACCCCTTCCTTTTTTAAATACATAAAATGGCGACGTTTTGACTGAGTGATGACAATTTTCTCATTTGCTTGGAATCATAAAAAAAATGGTCTAAAAATGCGTTTTATCCGTTTTCGCCGGTTTTAACGATTCTACTTACGCTTTTGACCGATTTTGAGTGAAAACCAATTTTTTGAGAGATTTGGAATGTTTTCCTACCCTAGAAACGTAAAATCGTACATTTTTACGCTTTAAAGCGCGATTTTGACTACACTGTTCATGACTATACATCAATTAAGAAAAAGCTTGAAGAAAACAAGCCTATAGGGAGTTTACCTTTTCCAGAAAACAACCAAGAATCGGGGCCACCACTCGGACCTATTGAAGACCATACCAACATTTGCATCTAGCAAATGAAAGGATATGATACTACCTATCACCCTTCATTGAAAAAAGAACATAATCTCATTAGACAAAAACAAAGTTCCATACCTTGCAAGATTGAGGAAAGCTAAGAAGAAAGATGATGTTTTATTATGCCAATTCATGGAGATGCTAAGAAAGATACACATCAACATGTGATGAAACTCAAATTATAGTGTTTATCACTCCCTATATTTGGTACTTTTCCCCTCCCATCAACACATCTTTAGTAGCTTTTTGATATATCATATATGAATTTCATAACTATTTTATTAATGAGCTTATTTGAGACCTAGATTGTGTTTTTTAGTATCATTTTATGCCTTTTTGGTATTGTTGTAAAATGCAATCTAGGATGATTTGGATCACATATTAGATCAAGTTGGAGGATCAAAGGGGTAATTACAAGAAGATCAAAGAGGAATTCGAATATCAAATGAGGTTCAATTGAACCCAAACCCCTCAAGTCTTCATATGAGCCCAAGAGAAGCCCACTGAAGAAGTTTTAGTCCAAACGGAGGAAAGAACCAATGGCGGGTCCAACCTTCATTGGGATGTCATTAGTCCAAACACATCAAATCGGGGCCAAATTCATTGGAGAGGTTACTTAAAGGACAAGAAATCAAGGCCCGTGAAGAAACCCATGTCGGGTTCGACTGTCGCTGGCCCAAGGATCATAGAAGCTTCTGGAAGCTCCTTACTTCGTCCTCAAGTCATAGAATTTGAGTTCAAGTCATACAATAATGCTTGGATTCGAATCTCAGGTGGAAAATTATAAAAACTCTCTCTTCCATGTACTACAAATAGGGGCTTAGGGTAGAGCTTTTGGTAGGCCTGAAATGCCCCAAACGCATTCTACATAGTTCTCTCCCGAGATTGTATTGGAGCCTATGAAATGGAGATGCCTTCATTGAGTCAAGTGGAGATGCCTTCATCATTGATGGTTTCATCTATCTCTTATATGGCGAACTAAGTCTCTTATTGTGTAGGGGTGTGAATTCTATGATGCTTTCTACATCACTTTTAATGACTTAATATGATGCTTTAGTTATCCAATGCTTTTATCATCTATTATTTGTTATCTTTACTTTGATTACAATACTTTCATAGGTTTCCTTGGAAATTCTTCCTATATGGTATATTTTTCTCTTATGCTTGTATGAATGGATTGTGCAACCTTTCATGTATGTATGAGATAGATGTTTGATACATTAGATCATCAAAGCTAGAACCAATTTTATGGTTTATAGAGACCCTAAATAGCAACATGCTATCCTTACTTCCTTGTTAAAATTTATTAGTAAGTGGCATAAAGTATAAGCATTCATTGACTAGTTGTAGTTCCTCTAGCATGCGGTAAAAGTTCGTCCAAGAATGCTTTAATAGAAGGGATAAGACATCATATACATTAGATGCATGGACGCATATCATGATGAGTTAGTGTCTATATACTCTAGATGAAGCTACCTAGATAATAGATTTAATCAATTGCTTTAATCATTGTTTACTTTAATTGCTATTATTATTTCGCATTGTTTGAATAGATAGGGCATTAATCAATATTAGGGAATGTCAACCCATTGAATTTGATTTTCATTGCATTACCATCTCAAATACAAGTGTTAGTTTGAAGTAGATAGCATTGAAAGACTCGTGAATACGACCATTGACACAACTAAGATTATTACTTTGGTGCACAATACATCATCATCACTGATAACACTACTAGGTATTCTTTCTTATATGTTGGTAGAGAATGCTCCCCAATACCTAGAGCCTGACTATGATATCCAATTGGGATACCTCCCATGGTCTACACAACACCAATTCCCATAAGAATAGAACATGTCTCCGATTGGAAAGTTAAGGTTAAATCATGTAGACCGGTCAATGCTCTTTGTGTTGCGGATGACTTAGCAAAACTATATTTCTTTAAGAAATCAGTAAGTGGTGTCCTAATAGCACCATAATCCTTCACAAATCTCTTGTAATATCCAATCAAACCACGTAACTCCTTCACATTTTTTGGAATATGCAAGACACCATGACCTCTGTCTTATTGTGATCATTTGACACCCATGATCATTGATAAAATGGCCTAAGTAATCAACCTCCTTTTGTGGAGAAGAACATTTAGACAGTTTGGCATATAGAGTATGTTATCTAAAGATTTGAATGGTAAGGGTAAGGTCCTGATAATGAGTGTCTCAGTCAGGAATATAAGTCAATATGTCATAAAAAAACATAAGGATGAACTTCCTCAAATATGGAGGCAAGGTATGATTCATAAGTGCTTGAAAAGTGGCAGGGGCTTTGGTCAATCCAAAGGGCATGACCCTGAATTCAAAGTGATCATAATGGGTTCTAAAGGCAGTTTTAATTTGATCTAGTAGGTGCATACAAACTTAATGGTAGCCAGATAGAAGGCCCAATTTAGTAAAGAACTTAGCTCCAACTAATTCATCTAACATGTAATCAATAACTGGGATAGGGAATTTGTCTTTGATTGTAATGGATTGTAGTTGTCTGTAGTCGACACAAAATTTCCAAGTTCCATATCTCTTAAGGACCATGAGAACTAAAGAAGCAAAGGGATACAGTTAGGTTGAATCAAATCAGAAGCCATCATTTCATCTACTAACTTTTACACTTCTGTCTTTTGTGGTAAACGATAATGATTTGGTCTTAGGCTTACTGAGGGTAGCATAAGTTTTGAGTGGTATGTTCACATGACGTGAGGGATGTAATGGATTTGGTTTGCCAAACACTTCTGCATATTCTTGAAGTATAGGTTGCACAAAATAAGTTGTTTTTTACATAGAGAAGAGTCTGAAGTCATGGTGAACAATTAGCATGACCATGACTACACTTTCTTCATGAAATACTTCTACAACCTCTTCCCATACATAGACTTGCAACTTCCCATCTCCTGTATTCCCTCCAA